GGTTCTGCTGGAAGTTTTTTCCTGTTAAAAGGAGTTTTCCTCTCCACTATCGCTACAAGCATGCTTGGGGTGAGGGATTGCTTTCAGGTCAATGAGTCGATGCAATCAGCTTTCTTTTGAACCAATCTGACTGTAGATCTGGTTGAATTGTCTCTGTAAAGTGCCTTGAGATGACATGGTTGTGAATTGCCGCTATATAAATACACTGAATTGAAAAGGTTTTTGAGCTATTATATTTGGACCGACCAAACAAACATTTTTTACTGATGAAGGAAGTGGAAAAAGGCCTTATATTCCTTTGAAGACATATCATACCAACTTTCTTATTTTCTCACCACCTTGACAGGCTCATCCAGTGCTCCAGTACTGGAGTTGAGGGGGGATGGCATCCCCCTTCTCAAAAAAATCTTAAAAATCATCCCCCTCCTTATATGACCATCCCCCCATACCATCCCCTGTGACATTTTATTACTGAATGTATACAATTTCTACTATATATTAACAGTAATAGCAATGATATTGCTCTTTCAACATTTGGTTGAAAGAGCAAAAAAAAAGTAGATGCTTTGGCTACATCTACAAGTAGCCTAAGCAAAATAAATCAAATCAAAGAAGTGGTCTACCATGGCTTTGAAGCTGATCCCAGTGGGAAATTTGTCCTCTGCATTTGTCCCTTACCCAGTCTAGAGAGTGATGGCAGTTATACTGAGAGGTGCCTTGGTCAATGACCGGCGTTCTTTGTTTTTTACAACTAGACTACAGCTTAAACCTATTTAAATTTTTTATTTTATTTTTTACCTTAGTTACCTTAAAATGGGGAAAATAATCTCTGCTTTTAATTTTTAACAACACCTGTCCAAATCCTGACTAAACCTTTTTTTTTAAAATGTACTTTTCATATTTTATGAGTTCCAATTTCATTTCTTTAAATTTCATTTTATGAAAAAGTGTTATTTTACAGATTTTATATAATAATTTATTCTTTTATTATTATTATTTTAGCAAATTTCAGATTTTTTATGTCTTTTTTCACACTCTTTCTTTTACAGATGGAGTTTTACAAATTGCATTCTTTTGAAATAGATCCTTTCAGTTCACCTTGTTATCATTCCTTTCTATTGGTCAGCTTGGATGTTAGACACAACCTTTTTAAATGAGCGCTTCCGGAGTAAGTGTTTGTATTGTGCATAAATTGAAGAAACAACAGGGACGCTGCTGGTGGCTCTTTTTCGACGTTCCAGAGAAAAAAAAAAAAGCCCTGCATCTGGCTTAGTAAAATCCAGGTCTGCCACGTTGAGGTGAAAGCAACAACCAGCAGACTTGATGCTTTTTACCTCTCATGCGAATTGCTGTCGCAGGCAAGCTTTTTGGCAAAATGTCAAGCGAGGGTTTTATGCTTGATTTGAAACATTATGTATTTTAATGAAGAGGATATTTTGTGCCTTTTTATGAAACCTTCTACATCCACAGCATATATATATATATATATATATATATATATATATATATATATATATATATATATATATATATATATATGTATATATATATATATATATATATATATATATATATATATATATATATATATATATATGTATATATATATATATATTTATATATATATTGGACTTTATTAATCTCATGGAGAATTTGACCTCTGCATTTAACCCATCCCCTTGGGGAGCAGTGGACTGCCAATGTGCGGTGCCCAGAGAGCAGTGGTCTTGCTCAGGGACCCATAGTGCAAGCTGTGGGGATCAAACCGGCTACTTGCAACCTTCTCAGATCACAAGTGTGATGCGTTAACCACAAGGCCATCACATATTTTAACTCTGTCAATCTGGTAAATGAATGTGGAGATACTAAATTTACTTTAAGGAACTACAGTAAAGGGTGTGTGAATGTTTGGTTTAATTTTTCTCATGCCAGCGTGCAAGACTGTAAAAACACACTTTGTGACTTCCAGTTGTCGGGTTGAACTGCTTCCAAAACTGCTGTCGCTGCATGCAGGCTGCACGCCGCTCACTCAGAATGAAAAACCTCTGTATTGAATGGTTCCCTCCTTAATGACCTTGCACACTTAGGCTTGCGGACTTCCATGCCTCCATAAATTTCTGTTGTTCTCCACCCTTATTGTAAATCTTCATGGCAAGGCCACTAATAGCATATCCTAATAAGATCCAGACAGGCCTCTGTTCTGTGGCCCAGTGATATAATCACATTTTTATTTGATAATCAAATAAAGGGTGGAATGAAATACTTGTGGAGCATTGTGTGGTTTCCCTTGGCTTTCCCCGCCAAACCTGGCAGATCTTCGTCTCTTATCTCCATCCTTAGTTGGGAAAAAGACTGAGCGCTTCCTCTATGATTAGTAACTGCTCTTCATTAGGAGGAGCATTAATCTAAGGCTGAGCAGAGATTGTCGGTGGTGGGGAGGCAATGGGGAGGGGGCAAGAGAAAGACATGCGGAAAAAGCGACATCACATAGCCATGAGCTTTAGCTGCGGCGACGCGGGGGATCCCTGTGGAGGAAGAGAACCATCTGCAAGGAGCCCACTGCGTCTTGGCAGCATTCAGGTGGAGCTGAAGATGGGAAAGAGACAGTTCAGTGTTTTTTACGCGGCTGGCAAACGGCCACACAGCTTCTCTCACCAAATCATCAAAATCATCCTTTGCTAATGAGTGAATACAGATTCCTCTTCTTATTCCAAGCAATGATTTAAGTAATTATTCATACTTATTAGTTTTCAGTCCTGTTATAAACAGAGTAGAAAAAAACAAAACAAAAGTTCAGATTAAATAATTTGAAGATATTTACCAGATTTTTCAAATATTGGCTGCATGCAGTAACTAATAAAAGTTTTGACACCCCTAAACCTGCAAAATATAAAGATAAGGGTACATCAATCAACCAATTTTATTTCCCAAACATTTGAGCCCATAGATACCAATGCAGCAGACTAGTGGCCCCCTGAAAATGCAACTAATCACTTTACTCCACATTGATACTAATATAAAGTGACATGATTTCATAAATTGTTTGATACATATTTTTTTAAAAGGGAATTAAAAAGTGTATTTCTCATTCCAAATGTATCTACAGTAACTATATTTTTGGAGAATTTACAATTTAATGCCTTATCTGAAGAATAGTACTAATTTTTAAATTACCGGTACACATTTTGTGAAAACTATCTCATGACCCCTCCAGGGGTTCTTGGTCCCAATTTTAGGAGCCCCATGCTTAAAAGGCTCAAAATGGTGCATAGTCTATGATTTATTTTTAAGAATTAAAATTTTGATAGGGTTTCCTAGTTTATATTTTCAGGTTATCAGAGCAAAACTGTAAAATCCCTACTTCCTCTACTTGGTCTTGATCTTTTTCATAAAATCCATTTAGCTCTTTGCTTGTAATGCGATAAAATGAGATTAAAAATTTCTGCGAGGAATGAGTACTTTTTAAAAATTATTTTTTATAGAATTTTTATAGCATTTACTCTGTCCTTTTTTTTTTTTTTTTACAAGTTAAGATTACAAGATTTATTTTATTATTATTTTTTTTTCACAGCACTCTACAGCAGGGGTTCCCAAAGTGAGGGTCAAGACCCCCAGTGGGGTCACAAGACACCAAGTAGGGGGTCAAGATAGTTGTGGAGGAAGTGTGTAATGAAATATGTAAACATGAATGTCACTTAAAACAAGTAGATATTTCAATGTTTATTTATTTATTTATCCATCTATGTCCTGCAATTAAAATATTAGATATATAATTATACTGGTAAATAAACCATTAAATAATAAAAAAATACAGTTCAAATTGATAAAATAATACAATGTCATTTTTAGAAGGATAAATATATTTAAAAAAGAGAATAAGTTCACTTTGTAATTATTAATAAATATAGAATGAACTCTTCATAATGTAAACCTTGGTTTGATTTTCTGTGTGTGGTACAGCATCCATTTTTAGCCCTTAACAATTCACCAAACTGGTGCGTTTTTGTTTTTCTTTTTCTAACTATGATAAGAAAATGATAAGAGAGAATTACAACCTCTTTTAAGAACCTGGGAGACTCATCTTTAGCACCTAAAAGGGTGTATTTATAACCTGTATGTGCAACATTTAAAGTACAATGTTTGCTTCATAGATGTGCTATACATGCATGATTACAATCCTGGCTTTAAATAGAAAAAAAGAACATATGAATATCGTGATAAAAAATATTTAATTAGTTAATTTACCATTTCAATAATATGAAATCTGCACAAATATTTTCAAATAGTATAAAAAAATATCAGAGCTTGGTTAATTTTTATTGTTATATGCACCTAAACCTTAAATTATTTTAAATCAAGATTAAAAACAATATTTGTTTAGAGCGACATGCTATCTAAACATTGTTAGTTATAAGTGTCCTGTCCAGCTTTGAATCCATTTTTAAAATTTATTCAAATTTCTCACACATAATCTCATATATATATATATATATATATATATATATTCAAAATACAGACTAGGCAATTTTAAATGACTGACTTAGAAAAATCTTTAAACAAAACAATCTAGCATGGTTGAAATTTGTTACCAAAAAGTCTTCATAATTCAAATAATAGATGAAGAAAAGTAAAAAATAACACTAGATGTAATGTTTTCTGTCTCTTTACATCCAATAACAAATATCAACCAAACACAACATGAAACATACTTTTTGGGGTTATGTTAATACGGCATGCTCCGCATCGTTGATTTTAACACACAGGGCGTCAAAATGAGAGAAGCTGGAAACTTGGCTACTTATGTGTCAGCCAACGATTTCTCTCACATCTCCAGAGTCACAAAAAAAAAAAAACAACAACTCCTCAGTCTGTTACAGAAAATCTGAATTCAATCAACAAGATGTTATCACTTCTCCCACTCCATTCCAGGACATATTTCACCCCTCTCGCCCCATCCAACTCCCCCCTTCTTCTAATTTCTCCCTCTCTGTTTTTTTGGCCAAAGCATGGGTTATTTTAAAAAGTAATATGCTTCCATATCACTTCTGGGCTATTTCAAGGGACGTTCACACCAACCTGCCCTCTCCCTAAATTGCAAGGACAATTCTGCATATTGTGATGGAGCGGTAGAGGCCCGTTCAGACGGGTACCTCGGCACCACTTGAGCCACCAAAGAATGAAAATTGTGGTTATAAGAAAAATAATTCTGGTTGCCGTCTTTCATTTTTTCCCTGCGGTAGCTTCTAATCAACTCGGATGGAGTCCATCAAACTTTGAGCGGCGGTTGCTTAAACAGGATGGTTTGGTTTTCTTCTGTGTGTGTATTCATCTGGAAATATAAATGATCAGAATGCGGTGGTAAGGTGATGCCACTCTGTCATCTCTGAGGTTTGCACACATCTGGATGTTACTGAAATGAAAGCTCTAATCTTATAATGTGTGTTTTTTCATCGTTTTGTGAATGTGCCCAACCCTGACGGCTAAATGGAAGGAAAGGGAAAGAAAACTTTTGGCCAAATGAAGATGATTTTCGAGAACTGTCACTTCTCTGAAAGTGCTTTGAATGAGTTAAGAATCTACTTAACTGCGATGAAAAAAAAAAGAAAAACATGGTGAATGTGAGCAGGCACTTACGAGTGAAAATTTGCAGACTTGAATGTAGAGCCGCGTGACTTCTGCGTCTGTAACTGTGACCTTGCTGCCCGTGCTGTGCTTGTAGCTCTGCAGATAGGCCGTCAGCCAGTCTCTCTGCAGCTCCTGGCTGGGATACAGGCTGTAGTCCACATCAGTCACACCTTCAGTCCGACACACACATGTTCACACACAGTAGGTTACTGTCAATGAATATTTTTTATTTCGTAAGAGGATTTACAAACTAATTGCTACTTCTGTGATTTAATATGAATCTTGGTTTAAATCTAACTTAATAACTCAGCATAAAGGAAATGATCTATCCAGAAGGTTTCAAAGAAGTTGCCAAATTCAAGCAATCTCTTCAAAGATTCAGTAAAAAATGCTACCATCCATTTCACACATTTTTTGAGCTCCAGTTTGACAACTGTGAGAGAAACAGAGACAAAGATTTCATGGCTTAAATATGAAAAAAATGAGCTAAAAAAAAAAAAAAAAAAAAAAATAGCAGGATCTCATCGAAAGTCAAAAATGTTGGAGGTGATTGTTGTAAGAAAAGAACATGATTTGTAAATGGGAATTTGAACAAAAATTGCATTTAAACTTTGAAGAATTTCTAAATCAATGAAATGGTCTCTGTTTTCTACAGTTTTTTAATATATATATTTTTATTTTGTTTTGTTTTTTCAAATTATTTTTTTGTATTTTGGATTTACATTTTCTCTGTTTGTTTTTTTTTATTTTATTTGCTTTTCAGATTAAGTTTAACCGATTGCATTCTTTTACAATAGAGTTCTTCAGATGAGATTCTCTTCACTTAAGGCCAACACCGCAAACACTCGCTATTGACCAGTACAAGTGTTGTTTCTAACGTCCAGCAGACCAATAGAAACACAGCTTTTCTCCTCCCTCCAGGGGAAAGGAAGGATTTCATTAAACTCAATCTGAAAAGGAGAACTTTGATCAAATTATCATTAGAAAAAATAAAATATGAAAAGATTTCATAAAGTAAATATGACTAAATAGTTTCTAGAGTTTCTTTCAAAACCCTTCTTTCAATTAATACATTTTTCAAAGTCGCATTACTAGATGTAATCTTTTTCAAATTTCAATTTAAAAAAATGTGCTCTTTGCCAAAATTTTGGAACGAAATTCACTCCATATAATCTTTCCATCCACTGCTAGTAAAAAACATAATTACAGCATTTCGAATCCCTATTCCTTATTATTTTTATTTCAGTACATAGTAAATGCCTACAAAATTAGTTCATTATTGTTCAAAGTGCAGAAATTCATCTCTCTTTTAGCGTTTTTGTACAGGAACAAGAATTAAAAGCTGATTTGAGTTGAGTTTTTTTTAGTCTGCAGTCTTAAGGTAAATGGAAGAAGCTATCTTAGTTCCTGTGTCTGTTTGTTTTTTTTACGATCAGATATATATTAAAATACAGATGAAGTTTGGTGTTTTATAATAGTAGCAGCCTGCTTTTACTCAGCTGGCCGACAGTGATCAGCAGTGGAAATGAGCTGCATTCATCTGTGCCCTCAGAGAAAAGTGATAACTATGACACTTCCTCTGACATCACATTAAAGGGACTTTAACTTTTTATTTTTCCTTAAATTTAATCCTTCCCCTGACAGATTTAGATTTTAAAAAGTCCTTCAACCAACAATGTATTAGAAAAGAAATAAGAAAGGTATCTTTTAACACATAAAAAAATAAAATACAATAATCCTTTTTATACATTCTTATGAAAATGGAAATGTCAAAAACTATTTCTACATCTCTTATTTTTTGATGAAAAAGTCTTCAGTGGCATTCCACGGAAAGCCCAGGTCAGATTTTTGGATTATTCCCACTGGTATTTTGATGGTTTTTCTGCCGTGATGAGCTTCAAGTCTTCAGAGTTGGAAGGTCTCTCTGCCATCACCCTAACATTCTCCATAGGATTCAGATGAAACCACAGGAAAACTTTAACAAAACCATGAAATGGAGCATGTTGGTAAATTTAAGAATTTCTTTTCTTCTAAATATGATAGGGGTATGAAAAACTTTGTGATTAAATCTACCTTTATACAATTATTATGCTGTATATTTTAATTAAGTTTATTAACTTCTTATTAGCAAATCAGCAAACACTGCTGTTATTTCAATGATTTTTAAATCTTGTTGACTCTAAATGATTATAAAGAGGATCATAGATTGCATCAGTATTTTTCCTTTTAGCTTTACTTTCTACTCCTGCTGCTATTAGTTTTTCTTTCAATATTCTGTATGTTAATTTTGCCACAACCTGAAAGCCAATGTTTTTTAACATTTTTGGACAGTTTTATCTCCAAAGATGGCAGCATCATAAAAAAAAAAAAAACAATGAGGAAAGTGGTTTCACTCATCGCATGAGTCTGATGACCTGGATGGAAAAAACTGCTCTGACTTACCAGCAAATTCATTGAAGTGATTCCCGATATCAAAAGCCTGGTAGTTGTAATCAGCATACTCGTAATCGATGAATTTCACTGTGCCTGATGGGGGGAGGAAAGGGACGGCAGCCGTTACCAGGACAACCTGAGGAACAGCTTCACTGTATGGACAAACACCTCACAACTTATGTGTTTTATTTAAAGTAAACAATCAAAGTAGCAGAAAGTGTCCTGGGATCAGAAAACATGATCTTTCATCTAGATCAGTGCTTTGTAATGCCAGAAAATGTTCTCTAATATTTTGGAGTAGTAAAATTAAGCAGTTTTTCACCCCATCTTATCTCAAACCAGCATCTAATCTTCTCACCTTCTTGGCTGTTGTATATAATGTTCTTTGTGAGAAGATCGTTGTGGCAGAGGACAATCGGTGAATCCAATGGAGAGAGGTGTATCTTCAGCAACTCCATCTCCATCATCAATGTCTCATAGCTGGGCAATTTGCAGAGAGCCACGGAGCTGAAGGAAGTACGACCAGTTAAAAGCCTGCTATACAAACATAAACCTCCACAACAAAAAAAAAAAAATCCAATGTTTATTTTAAACACTCTTATTCAGGGACATCGAAAACTAAGAGAAAATTATTCTTTTTTAACAAAATCAACAGTTTCTATAAAATAAACCACAGTAAAAGATTTCTTTTTAAACTGTGCTTCATTTTTTTTTTTTTTTTTTTTTAATGAAACTGAATAATAAATAGTTGCTATTTGGTAATATTTTACTTACAGACCTTGTATACATTAAACCTGCATTTAAGTAAGGTGGCCGAGGGGTGCAAACACACTGCAATTATATAAATGTGCAGCAATTACATAAAGTAGTGCGAAGAGAAAAACGGGGCTTGGCAGAACATAAATGAGACTACCATACAATGTTACAAAAAAACACATGCAAAGAAAATCACAAAAAGTGGAGTGATGCAAGGTGCAAACTTGCTTTAAGCACTAAAATACATAAATGACGCAAACACAGACGCAAATACAAAGAAAAAACTGGTGCAACTGGCAAAAAAAACTGCAATTGAAGAAAAGCTGCAATCTTACTCCACATAATGAAAGTGCTCCAAACCACTAGGGGGAGACAATTATCAACACATATGGGACCAGGAAACATAAACAGGATGCTGACCAGGGCAAATTTGGAGGGAAGAAAGCAGTGGCGGCCAGTGGAGTTTTCTCCAGGGGGCTATGAATTAAAAATAGACTTATACTAAGTTATTACACCAGTATATTTATATGAATGCCAACAACAAAAAAACATTATGAAAAAACACTTTATAAAACAAAACATAATTTAAAGTACGGGTTTACTTTCTGTACATAAATCTTGCCCATCTGAGGCTTTTTCAAGGCAAAGCTGTGTTTTGCATGGTCCTATATTGTATCACAATCCTAAAAAAAAAATAATGTACCAGTTTAATTATGACGAAGCTATGAGTCAGCATTATATTTTTAATACATAAAAACTATTTATTTTCTGAGAATGGGTTTAGTTAAAAGCAACTATGCAAATTAACAAACATCTAGAAAAGTACACTATATTATATTATTTTCCATGTTGGGGCGCACTAGCGCCCTCTATTAGCCAGCCGCCACTGGAAGAAAAGGACAACTTTATTAAATTAAACCCTTAATCTCTTAGCATCCTGATGATCATTACTAAAGGTTCGAGCCCCTCTGTTACCCATGATTAGCTAGCAGCTTTACTTAACTTTTAGTTGTTTGTTTTTAGTACTTGCTACATTTTTACTTTCCATGTGTTTTTTTGTGTGTTTGTGTGCGTTAGCATCATTTATTTGTTTGCAGCACACTTTGTATTTGGGTTTCATTTTGTTGCTCTCAATTTTCTGTGACTGCAGAATTTTTTCCTTGGTATGTGTTTTGTGTGGTTGTTTAAGTCTATTTTTGTGTTTGAAAACTTTTTCTATTTGATGCACATTTATGCATTTGCGGTGTGTTTGCACCTCTGGGCCACCATACAGAACTGAGTCGGTCATCAAAAGGCAGGAAATGACCAGAAATGGATTCTGTCTTGGTTCTTTTAATATCTAAAGTCAGAATATCTACAGTCAAGCAGGCAAGAAGAAGGCTTCACACATCTGTACTTCATTCAGGACCCAGGAGAGAATTTCAGGAGACAACATGACGGTGAAAAACGTTAGGTGTTTTAGTTTCGTGGATGGATGGACCGACAGAAGGATGCTCTGTGTCTCTAACATTAAGTTGTTTTTAAAGTTGTATTTTCTTTTATCTTGGTTCAAAGGGGAAGATTGGCAAAAATTAACAGGCTGGATTTTTTAAAGAAATCTCAAGCATGGGTGGTTCTAGGCAGGGGCCATTGTTGGCCCCTGCATTTAACACATGATACTTGCTACACTTCTGATAACCTAATACCGATATTCACTGGTACAGAAATCAAAGGTGATTCTGATAGTTGTTTTTTTCATCTTTACAGTTTTATTCTGATGATGATTTAAAAATTAACTCGTTACATTTTTAGCTTCATGCACATTGAGATATGATCACAGTTTGCTTTATCTGAGGATTCCAGAGCAGTAAATGTCTCTTTGGTTCACTTAATATTCTAAACAAGAAACTATTGTCCTGTTTTTTGTATCATTAATTTATAATAAGTGAACCAAAAACTATTTAGTCAACAACTGTTATCAGTCCAGGGTGCAGCAATTTCAGACAACATCCCAGCTGCTATAAGTGAGACTACTGCATTCAATTCATTTACAACAAACTGTAAAAGAAGGCTCAAAGCGAACCAGATCTGTGACCACTAATGTCAGATATCATTATCCTGTGCAGTGTAATCTTCCACTGTCTTTAATTCTATTGTCCACTGTTTTTATTCTATTAGTTTTTTTCTTTTCTTTCTTTCTTTATTTACTGATTGATATATTCTCTCTTGTGTCTGTTTGTTAATTTCTTGCTTTTTCTTATTGACTTACCAGATACAGATGTAAAGTAGCCATCAGACTATGCAATATTTACATGGAAATTTTCTTGAATATGCATCGTCACTGGTAAATAAATAAATAAATATATTGAAACATTTTATTTAGTGAAAAACAAAACAAAAAACTGGCCCCACACTGGTAAATTTGTTGTAGAACTTGCCACTGAGCTAGAGGTTGGAATATTGTAGCAGAGTCTCTAATTGTGTCATTTATGGTTCTAGGAACCATTTATCTAATGTAAAAACCCCTTAAATAAAGAAAAAAAATCCTAAATTAAGCTTCCCAGTGGAAAGTTACTAAATGGTGACCAATTTGTTCAGAAAAAAAACCTCAAACACCAGCCCAGATGTCTTAAACTCTCCACAGGAAGAAACTGTTTGTAAACCAGCGAGCTGCAGTGAGAGATCACATATTTAGTTTTTCCTTCTGTTAATCACTATAGCCTCCAAAGTTGGTGCTAAATCCACCTGGAAGAATTGGGACGCAAACATCCACCTAGCTTATTCATCTTTTATTTGCAGACCCTCTGTCTGCCCCGGTAAGACAGTGCTTCCAACAGTGTTATTTAAACAGCACCTATTTATCTGAAGGGGAACAAACAGACACTGAGGTATTATACACACTTATGGGCCTGATTTAGTGAGGCCTGCATGGAACGCAATAAAAGAGGCTTGTTTTGTTTATGATGGTGACACTGAGGCTCTGCTTTTCTACACAAGTCCACCTACACATGCATAACAAGTCCAGTATTCTCTCCCTGAAGTCCTGTTAGGCTTTCTGTCTTCAGATTGCCAGTAAATCAAGGATAGGTTGACAGTCTGTACTTGATGTCTTTGCTCCCCTTTTAATCCATCTATTGATTTTAATGCTTTTAAACAAATTTAGGAGATACTTTTATTCACTTTTTGATCTTTCATAATCATCCTTTTCTTCTGCACTACATTTTTATTAGCTTCAAGTTCAAAATCAAACATCTTATCACATTAAACTTGCCCATGACATTTCAGTCACTGAGAACCGAACCCCTTCTAACACTTTAGATTCATCTGTATCGTCTCTAATATGAAGCGAAGCCGTCGTTTGAATGGTGAATCACCCTGATTCCTTTTCAGCTCATCCATTTCTCCAAACTAACCAAGTGACTTTTGTCACAGGGAGGCTGCGAATAGTCGGAGTGAAAAGCCAAATGAAAGACTTGCATTGCCTTTAAAAAGGAAACCTGACGTCTTGCCATCAGATCTTTTCCTCTCCTTTCTGTCCTTTTCATGAGATGGAGCGCGTCAAGTGCGTTCGCCTCCTGCTCCCTGTCAAGTCTCTGTAAAGTAATTAGTGGAATTTCCTCCTCTGGCGCTTCATTATCAGAGCGCCTTATTTACATATGATTTCAAACAGAAACTATGAACTGGGGATTTTTGTTCCTTTTTTTTGTGGTTTCAGGCAAAGTGTGGGAGGAAAAATGGGTGACCCAGCAGGGGGCCTTTGGGAAAAAAAGAGGTTGCACTCATGCTCTCCATTGCTTTTCTTTCTTTCCTTTCCCATCTCTGACTTCCAGTACGCTCCCTCTCTCTCCCTCTGAACCAGGCAGCTGCTGCAGCCTCCTTCACTCTCCTGCATCCCCCTCCTCCTCTTCCTCCGTCTGTCTCCCCCTTTCCACACAGCGGGTGGCTTGAGAGCTGAAGACCTCCTCTGCAGGTGCAGCTCCTTCCTGTGCTCCCTTTGCCTTTTCCTTTTACTGACTCCTCTGAAGACCACATTCATATCTGCATTTGGATACACTCTCGAGTACCAAAAGTTCCTCTAATGCAAATTAAAGAACCTTTTTTTCCTGCTATCTTTCAGCCTCTGTCTCATATCTCTCTGCCTGAAGAGGCCAGTGATTGCCCAAACAGACACACACTCCAGTTTTAAATGCAAATGATCCTATAAAAAATATCTACTTTCCTTGCATGTTCACCTTTAATGCCGTCTCCACTTATAGTAATTTTTCAACACTCTTTGGGTTTACATCCTAATTATTTCACGTTTTCCAGATCATTTGGAATTACTCTGAATGTCTCTGCTGGTGAGCAGCACTGAAGCTGTGTAAAGTCATGCAAATGTGTCACAATACAGCACCATCTATTGGGCCTCGTCATGTGGTGCAGTTTACTCTGACATGACCATACAACCATACTGCTATATGTTAAAGCTCAAGACACTATTTTAAAAATATAAAAAAAAAAAAGAGTTATTGAGAGTTGCTAGTTTGATATAAAGTGTTCAAACTTCTTAAACTTACTCACATTTTGCCAAATCTCAACCTTAATGCAAAGTTAAAACCTGGAATAAAAAAGGGTTCTTAAACCAGCAAAAAAGAATAATAAAAACTATATTTTACTGTGGTTTCTACTGGGCCTTGTGTGCAGATTTGAGCCTTGGTGGAGGGGGTTCTTATTTACTGTTAACTATGACGACTTCCCCTCTGGAGTGGCTCCCTTCCTGCCACTTTCTATAT